GTGTTAAAGCTTTGTTAGGATGGTGTGTCTTAAAGTAATTGCAGAATGCCAAAGACAGAACTTTATGTGTTCCTTCAGGCTGAGCAGGAAAGCCAAGTATACAGAATTGGAAGCTGTCTATCAGGGATGTTTTATTTGCTTGATATTGAGCAGACAGCAGAGACAAAATACCAAAAATGCTTGAAATCCTTCTGACCTTTCACTGCAAACTGTGAACTTTGTCTTCTAAACTCAAATTTCTATTTACGCTGTCAGCAGAGGCTACAAGCTGTTGCCTTCTCTTTCTTTTCAGTTTGTAATTTATCAAGGGACAGCTTCACAAACACTGCACAGGAGAGGGGACCTGAACACATACCAGACCTTTTGCACGTTCAAAATACTTAGTCTCCATTCTGTGGATTGCTTAAAAATGGCTGTAATGCAAGCAAAGCAGCATGAAATATGCTGTTTGCACCCGAAGCAGAAAATATTCTATAGAAAGTCTTAGCTTTGCCATCAGCTGGCATAGCTCACATTCCCGAGCTGTGTTGCGAATCCTTGCTGCTGCACATCTGACTCCATTTACACCATCTTCCATTAACACAGGAACACACAGGTGACTGCTGACTAAATGGTCCAAAATACATGCAGCAAAGAACTGCATCACCTTCTTAAATGAAATATCCCTGATTTCAGCCTTGTGCTTCAACATTCATCCAACCTTGTAAATGAGGAGCTAGACTGTTGCAGAGAACAAGTGCAGAGGACATTTCAGATGTATAAAGTAAAAATTGTGAGAGTGAGTAGAGTGAGTAGATAACTGAGGGTGACTGAACCATCAAAAACTAAGGGTGACTAAAAACTGAGGATGACTAAACCATCTATTGCCAGGGAGGTTGTGGAGTCTCATAGTAGGAAATAATTCAAAAGTTTTCTGGACATGGTCCTGAGCAACCTAGGTGTCCCTGCCTGAGCAGGGGGATTGGACAAGGTGACTTCTAGAGGTGCCTTTAGACCTCAACCATTCTTATTCCTAAGGAAAACTACTGTGAACTATAATATTCATTGCTATTTGCATAACTTTGCCAATTAAAACAGGACAGCCTAATCAGTTATTTAAATAAACCAGACAGCTACATAAAATTCCTTTGAAACGAAATATAAGGTTGAATTATATAACAAATGTTTTAGCTGAACTCTTAGTATTAGATGGGCAATTTTTCTGACTGTATTTCAAATTTCATTTCACACTGTGGTAGCATTCATTGAATTTTACAAGGCAAAGGCATTAATAGAGTTGTGTCTGAACATTTTAGGGTCTAGAAAACTGTCTTAAAACGAGCCATTTCCTGAGAGACTTCTGCATAGAAAATACATTGGTGTATCCAAAAGAAACTGAGTTCACAAGGAATCATTTCATTGGTACATTATGTTAACGAGGCTTTTGAAAGAAGAGTTTTCCCTTAGTGTTACTTTTCCCTGAATGTAAAAACTATGGAAAATGTGTGGAAAACATTGACGAAGTGATGATGGCAGCTGTATGCTCTATATGTGACTGTTAATTATCTAGCTGTTAATAAACTAGATGTTTTAGCATATAAACAGGAGGATTTATGCATAATGCAAAACCCATAAGAACATTTATTGTTTGGTATAACTGTTTCTCAAATCAGAGAGGCACATTGTTTCAGTCTTCCACAAACTTCCTGTTACCAAAATAAAAATCTGCTGCCTACTGCCTTCAAGTTCTTTTCATGTGAGTTGGTCTGGGACGTAGGGGGGCTCAGAAGCAGAGAATTTAGTGAGCAGCAGGTTCCTCAGATCTCTGCTCTGTACAGCCTCAGATCATAAACTTGTCATCGTGGTTACTAACAGCAAGCAGGAGGATTCTATACAACATCCCCAATTCTAATGATTCATGGAGGTGAGATTATCCTGTTCTTTTTATGTGTTCTTCTGTACTGGAGTTTTTTGTGTCAATTATCACTACTAAAACCCTAAACAAGCCCCTTTTCTTCAGAACACAGACAAAAGCAACCACTGGGTTTATTCACAATAATGCTTGGATTAGTTAAAGAAACCACATTCACCAACAGGAGAAGTAAATTTCTAAGCTATTGAATAATACTGCTATGTTTGGAAAAGATTTTTCTTTTGTAATTCTCCTTTAATGTCCTCCCATCCAAAGCTGCTGTGAGGAGTCTGAAGCTCGGTTTTCATAAGTGAGTGAAGGAGTCCAACAACTGACTCCTATTTAAAATAAATGGTCCTGGAAATGTAAGGTAACCTTTCCATAAATACTTGAGTAATTTGAGGTTTAGGTTCCACTAAAATCTTCCAGTATTTCCAGCTCCTCAAGTCAGGAAAAGGCAGACCAGTAAACTAATTCTTACTATCAGATAAGCAGGGATTGAATGGAGGTACATAAAGCATGAGAAAATGAGGAGGAAACTGTGGACAGAGGAGATGCCTATGTTCAAGAAGTTTATACACTGAGAGGCATAAAAGGCAGTTCAACAGGAAAAAGGATAGACATAAAAAATATCAGACTATATAAACTGAAACATTACTTTCAGTTGCTTAGGCTTGCTTTGGATTTTGAGATATGACCTCAGTAAATCCACATGAAACTGTATAATTTTATCACCTGACTCAGTGCCTCTGAATTCAGCACAGTTTTTTGTTTGGTGTTTTTTTTTTTTTTTTTTGCTTCCTGATCAGATTAGAAAGTGTCTGAAGTCAAGCTGTGCATTCTGGTAACGTTTCTGAATAGTTTTGCTTTCTTTGTTTCAGCGGTTGTTTTTCAATTTTAAAATATTATTAAAATAACACTTTTGGGTGGGTAGTGACTACCACGACATTGTGTAGAAAACCCAAAGCAATTTGAAGCAGGCTAGACATTCTAAGTACATTTTTAAAATACTTTATTGCCTAAATAAAATAAATCCCTTAGTCTAGCAATTACTTTCAGATGTTTGATTGTTTATTTTTAAAGAAATGTCATGTCAACCATTTAGAACTGACAAGAACCATTTTGATATCTTCATGAGTTTTCTCTAACATCTGCTCCCCTCCTTATGTTGGGAACTATATACTCATCTTCACTGTCTCTTGTATTTATCTTAATTTTGCTCTGTTTTATTTTATTATTGGAGGAAAAACTTCACAGAGCTGTTTGTGGCAAGGTTTAGTTACAGGAAACCCAACAGCTAAGCCCCAGTTTCAGCTGAGACAATTAGACTGTTGATTTTGGTAGCAGCTCAGGACTTCTATTTGACCCAAATGCCTTTCAGGTTTATCTGCCAGTTGATGCTCAAGTCTGAAAACTTTTTGTATTCTTGCTACAGATAGAGGGCTTTGTTTCCTTTTTATTTGAGGTATATTTCTATCCAGATCTGAATGTTTTGCTGAAATTCTTCTCTATTCACTGGAATAGATTAAAAGAAAAAGATGAAATAACAATATTTTCCAGAACTTTCAATCTCTTTTTGTTTTCCTCTTAATTCTCTGTTCCTTGATATCTGTGAATTGTTGAGGACAGTTTTTTTTCTCAAAGCAATTTTGCCACTCATGAAAAGTAGTGGGTGCTAGTTTGTAATACTTAGCTTAACTGTTGCTTTTTTCTGTCTAGCAGCTATATTTAATAGCTTATATTACTGTTTCATCTGTTGTAATAAAGGGCTCTAAAACACTGAAAACTCAATACTTTTAAAAAGTCATCTATATTATGTAACACCAGAAGATATTTATTGAAAGGTTTAAAGAAATTACTAATGAACAGAGCAGAGTTGTTCTACAGTCTTTTCATCAACTGCTACAGAAACTTTGCAGCTGAATTATCAAAGTCCACTGCCATTCTTGGATGGATGTTTTCTTAAGTGGAAAAGCTCTAAAACTCTATGGATGCTCTTGGAGAATGTAAAAACTGAGAAGTGTTTTATTTTCTGTCAGTAGTTTGTGGGCTAGAGTCTTGAGCAATTTTTTGCTTTTTGTTCTTTCTTTTTTCTCTTGTTGGACTTTTCTAGCACCTGATGTAGGGTAGGTCACAGCAGCTGATGTCGGGTGAAGACAGTCACCAGGGACAGCTCCAGCCATGGAGTGGCCAGATATCCTAAAATCTTGTCATTCACCAGTCCACCCCACTGGGTTCATAGTTCAGAGCTCCCCAGTGGGGTCCCATGTTTGTGTGACCCTGCTGGTTTTTCATCTCAGACAAATCACGCTACTGAATGTGGCACTCATCCTCCTTAAAAGATGTCCAGAAAGTCTGAGGGATTTCCATGATGAGTTCTTACCATGTGGATTCTTTCAATTAATTAGCTTTCTAGAAATCAAAACAGTGCAGGACACTACTGCAATGCAACTTGTTAAGCAATAATGTGGGTTTTTTTCCAAAAGTCACATGTGATAACAAACAATACTCATAGGCATAAGACAACCGTGGACAGCATGAGCTAATGTCTCATTGTCAGAAAGTTTTCCATTAAGGCTTGGAACTGATGTTTAACATATTCTTCCCATTATTGAGCTAAACTAAACACTGTATTAAGTATGGATTTCTCAATGAATGTTACTGCTGTTTATTTTAGCATGTACATACATTTGGAAGTGAACACATGTACATATGCATTTTGGGGAACAAAAGCACATCAACAGCATGGCTCACTCTAGTTCCAGAATAAAACCAATCTTCTTTACAGAAACACAAATATGCCAAATGCCATACATGTTCTCTCCTATCAAACAATGGAGAATGACTGAAAGGGTAGATTTCTTTATCTATGATAAAAAGTGCTGCTGAGGTTGATCACCAAAATTTATGTACCATATAATTTTCCAGTACAAATTCAAAAGCTTTGGTGTATAGCAAACAATTGAATAACTTATCAAATCCTGTGTAGGTGATGGCTTTATGACAACTTCAGTTTTAAGCTGTTGTGCTTTGGTTTTGGCATTACATAGAACTTGCTTAGGATTGCAAAGCTTACATTACAAAAGCTTACACTGCAAAGCTTACTTACATTGAGGTTTTGGGACAGGGCAGAAGATGGAGAGGTTGGCTGCTTTTCACTCTGAGGCACAGATTTCCTGATTGTGTTAGGCCTGGTGTTACTTTGTTGATTTTAGGTTGGTCCTAGGGGAAAAAGAAAGCTTTTAAGAAATGTATGAGCATAATATCCTTCTTTTACCTCCTCCCCGCCCCGAAACATTAAGAAGCATTAGTCAAAATTTTCTAACATAGTGGCTTAACCTAGTCTTTTAATTCCCTATTCCAGCTTCTTGTTCAAGGTCTACTGTTCAGAAGTATGAAAACCTGGCAACTCATTCACTGAGTAGCCTTTTTAGTTATTCAGTGCTTGCGAAAACTGATGTAGCAGTTTGAATATGGACAAAAATCCTAGTGTTCGGTGTTTTTGTTGGCAATCCTGTAATAATTATGCTGTAAATCAAAATATGGGTTTGGATTTCAAAAGTGCCTTGAGCCTTGTTCCCACCCTTCTACAGAGACACTGCCTAACTTTTTCAGATTACAAGGTATAAAATTATCAGTCTGAAATACAGATGAAAAACTTTTGCCTAATCTTAACTTTCTCCATGTGTGTCGTGCCCATGAAAATCTACATATAAACCCTTTCATGCAATGCATGAATAAAATCATTAGTTCCCAAGAGGCATTGTTCTTGGGAACTACCAAAGTCCCAAGCATTACTGCATTCATAATATGAGGATACTAAAAAGGGGAGCCACAGACAATGCTAGTGTTCTATACAAAATAAAATCTGCTTTTCTATTTTATATTCTGATCATTCTCACACAGCTGCTACCAAGTCCTATGTGCTTTGCCTGACACAAATCCCACTGACATGACTGGGAAGAGTCTCTGTGATTTGCTGGGTTCAGCTGCCATTGAGTCATTTGGGGTTCAGTTGTGGATGGGCAATTCTGGATGAGTGTTCTCCAGTGGAGTGAGCACATGCTCGAGTGCTGTGCTGGATCAGAGGTGGGGAGGGCCCTGCACCTCTATGCATAGCCCCTGCCCTCAGCTGCTCACCATGCACTGCACTTGGTGCTCAGCATGTGTCCTACAGGGAGCCATGGGCTCCTGCAACCCAGCTCATGCAAAAGCTCATGCAAAAGCAGGGTGATCACTCCTCATGTGCTGATTTGCTTTGTGGTTGAAAATTGAGATATTTGGCCTAGAGCTTCCCTGCCTGTGTTTTTGCTCTCCAGAGTCACTGGTTTCCCACCAATCAGAGTAACTCCAAGGAGCCAAAGACACCCAAAGGTATCTCTCAATTTACTTTAAGCATTTTATCAGCCAGGGCAAAATGCAAATTCAAGAGCACTAGCAAGGCTGTGCTGCAGCAGTGCCCTGTACCCCAGCACTCAGTGGACCCCAGGCAACTCTGCCCTGGGTGGCCTGGCCACCAAGAGACCATGCAAACCTCAGGGGCATGAAGCATTTGGAAAGGGAGGAGTACTGAGTTCCCAAGGGAACCCTGCTTGACTATTCTATCTCAGAATTTATTCAAGTCTGTTTGAAATGTGCCCACTACCCTGTTTCATCTGAATGCCACAGCAGGGGTATTGTAAGGTCTCTCAAAACTGACAAAAAGAACTAGTTAAATAATTCTCAGAACAGTGCATTTTAACTACTGTATTTTCTAGACAGCTGAGAGTTTTCTGCTAGACCAAATATCAGCCCCAGTACCTCCACGGTACTGTATCTCCACCCAGCCCGTGAGTTTCTGATTGCTGGCTGGAATCTGTTTCTCCCTTCAGTTGATTTCAGTTGCCCACCTAGTCCCAGAACAGGATATGAGAGCTGCTGTATCATAGCAGCCAGATAGGCACCTTCCTCTCAAAGCCCAAACCCCTTTTGGATAGAAACGGGCTGCTTTTCAGGCCTTTTGTCTTAGACTATGGATTAGATTAATCATGACAAAGTTTTCTGACCTCTGGTGTAAAATTTATTTTAAAAAATCTCCTTAATGATAGCAGGATAAGTTTTCTGGCAATACCTATCTGGTCTCCAATTGATCCTTGCTTTTATAGATAATCTGTGTTGATTTTCCCCTGACTCCACCCCTCTCTTGCAAGCGGATCCCCGATGAGTTTGGGGTGCAGTTTAGGAAATATGTAATCACCTGGGGAACCAATAGGAGATAATGCCTGAGTAGCATGTGTTATTTGCAATTTATTTCATCCAATTCATTGGAGCTGTACAAGGAAATGTGTATTTGCCACCTTTCTGAGAGGACTCGAACGCCTGAAGAGCAGAAACTGCCAATGCGTTATGCAGAACTTAGCTGTCATTTTCTTCCTAGGTTTCTGAAGAGTAGGTTCTCCTTGTTTATCCTGCCAAACAGGCCTTCTGCTTCAAAGGATGAGGAAGTAATTCAGAACACATCAACACCCTATCCAAACTATTGGAGACACCTCTGTGCTCTGCAGTTCAGCTTGGGATACAAACTTCTCTGCAACTTGCAGATATTTGAGGTTGGGGCTTTGGCTCAGCTTCTTGAGTTAATGAGGGAAAGTCACTAAGTCAGAAGTAGTGTTGTGCACTTAGCAAAATGGAAACCTGCCAGACTGAAGGGGATGGCAGCTACTTTGCCTGTGACTGAGGAGAGAGGGATTCGACATTTCAGCCAAACAGTTCATTCCTGCCTCCTGTATGTACCATCCATGCTGGCGTTACCTCCTTTGTGGGATTAGGGAGAGGGTAAAGGAGTGCCAGTGTGTACCAGAGGGCCCCAGTACAGCAGCAGCAGTCACATCAGTCCTTTTATCTGCAGCAGGATTTCTCTGCCTTTCTGCCCTGGTCCTGGCCTAGTTGCCATCCCTCCAAAACAGGACTGACCCATCCTTGACAATCAGGAAAGAACAGAAAAATGTACAGATGGTGATGTTAGAAACAATGGAAGTAAAGGGAAGGTCTCTGGGTGTCTTCCTTTTGAGAAGGAGAGAAATGAAGGAAAAGAAGGAGTCACAAGGAGGAGAAGCAGCTTCATAAACAGAAAATATGCCATATCTCCTGTAAACTTCCTCACACAGAGGCCACTCAATCCCCACCTTTCACTCTCATATCTTTCCCCATCCCACACCACCAGTGCTACCCCTGCCTGCCTTGTCTGCTCCAAGGATGCCCTGAGTTGGGAGTTTGGTTTTGCTACACAGTGTAACAAATAAAAAGATAAATTCCAGTTCCAGTAGATCACTCAACAGGCTTTCACTGATTCTTGTTAGGGAAACTCCTGGCCACTTTGAGATGCTTTATTTAACATTAATATATTATTATCATCATCATCATCCAGCTCTTAGTGTTCTGAGACCAATCACTTGATGTGCATTCCTCCACTTAACTACTTTCAAAACTGAAAACCTGTAATGGTGAGATGTGGCATTCACAGTCTCTGAACAGAGAGGGACATAATTCTCTCTCTCAGATTTTTTCCTGGAGAGGCACAGAGATCAAAACAATTCTTATCTCATTTGCTGCTCCTGTGTTTGTCCCCATGTGGAATGTATTCTGGAGATTGTTTACCCAAGGTGACCAATTGGATCCACATGTGTGGGTCTGGACTCTCGGGCAGAGAATCATGAGTTTTTCAGTTAGGAGAGAAGTTAGAAGCAAGTATGATGTAGCTCTTTAATATAGTATAATGTAATATAAATTTCAAAATATTTATTAAAATAAAGTTTTAATAAAGTGAGCATTCAGCATCCCAAAGCCATGGAGTCAGATGTCAATAATTTTCCTTCTCCGGGGGCACCCTGAAATACAATAGGGAGACAATTTCTTTTAACTTGAAAAAATAGTATTTTGAAAGATTTCCTACTGAAACAATTGCTGTCTTCCCTGTGTTGTTTCAGTCATGTGCAGATCCTGACATATAGATTAGGACTACTGGGAGAAATCCCAAGTACAAGCCATGATGTGAGCAACTTGAAGCAACAAAAGTCTTTCTTTGCTATGGAGAAAATAAATCCCAAGAAGGCTTCTTGGAGAAGGAAGGGAGGGAGGGAATATGAGAGAGAGGAGAATGAGAGAAATAACTCCTAAGAGCACATTTAAGCATTGAATTTCCTGACTGATAGTGTTTCATTTCATTGCTCTGCTTTTAAGAATTATTTTGTGCAAAATTTTGTCTGAAAGGAGAGAACTTATTTTCTGTGTACTAATCTTCAATTAGTACAATTCTGTGTACTAATCTTCAAATGTAGTGAGGTAGCTTGCAGTCTTCTCTCCTTTCCACTCTGCTACCTGCAGGTGTTAATTGAGTGTGGAAAACAACATTTTCTGTTTGTAATTCAAATGCACAAAGATAAAAGCAGAAAGGCAGAAAATTACAAAATCACTGTATTCTCTTAGCACAGAAACAGCGTGATCCCTAGTTAATTTAAGTAATCACAGAAACACAACTTCTATTTTAAGCAGATATTTAAGTCCTGCTGATTCAGTATTCAGCCCAAGTGCAAATGACTTTTGTGGAATGAAGCTTGCGCTGAACTGGATCCACTTAGTAAAATATTTCAGTCTGCTATTTGAGGGAGGAAAGAAGAATCTGGTCAACTGTTGGAAATGCCTCTGTAGCAAAATCACTTCTGTACTGATTGACTGTTCTGTTTTCTAGGGAATTTTTAAGGGTTTTTTGTGAGAAAGTACTACTGTGACATAGAAGGTTGCTCTGGAGAAAAGTTACAGGAGTATATACACATAATTGCCTTTTTTGAAAGTAGCATACTACCTAGGATTTCCTCAACTGTACCACAAAACATTAACATCCTGGAACTGATATTTACAATTTTGAATTCCAGCTTTCCAAGTATAATTAGTGTCCTTGCAAATGTTTTGGTATCAAAGTTGGGACTCACTTTGTGTAAGACAGTCCATAAACTCAGTTTTTTTTTCTCATTTATTATATCCTTTTACAGTGTTCGAGATGACAGCTGCAATATTTAATACTAATAAATAGTAAATTGAAATAGCATGTTTAAAGTATTTATTAATTATAATATAGACAAGTTGCTTTCATTTATAATTCACTTTTCTCCTGACATTGTTCTCTTTTTTGCTTAAAGTACCTGTGATTCATATCTTCCATTATAAAAAAAACTCACAAATAATTT